GAAGTCTTGGATTCCGAATGCCGAAAACAGGAGCAAGTCCCACTGAGTACGAGTACAGCAGCTGAAACTGGTACGAGACCGGTTGGCCGTACTGTACGGGGAACCGGTATAAGTGCCGGTGACACGTACGGTACCAGGGGCATCTCTGCAAAAGCCCCCGAGGGCAGAACTGAAAAATGCGGTATTTGAAAGTGGCGCCCGAATTGTAGCATGGCGCCAGTTGTCCAAAATCCGATGGTACCGAAGGAGGGGTTTGAAAAAAGGGTGCCAGGCCAAAAACGGGATGTAGCGAAAACAGCAACAAAACAGACCAGGGCTCGAGCCCTGGCGGAGTCCGTAACACTATCCCCTCCCTCTGAAAGGCAACGTCCCGGCTGCCAAAAACCTAAGGAAACAAAAGGAACTGTGAAGGACGGGACGGGGCCGATCACTGGTCGGAAAAGGAGAAGGGGAGTGATCCAAGTCACAGGGTATTCTGTCAGATGTTCTGCACAGGTGAAGGTATGATGTAACTGGGTAGGTCTACAGGGGAAGCTAAGAAATGTTCAGGGAACAGGGGATTTCTATTGATGTTCTATTGGGTAAGGGGAAACAATGTCCAGGAAAACAGGGAATTTCTATTGATGTTCTAGTGGGTAAGGGGAACAATCGTCAGAGAAACAGGGAATTTCTATTGATGTTCTAGTGAGTAAGGGAAACAATGGTTAGGGGAACAGGGATTTTCTAATGATGTTCTACAGGGTTGTCAGGAAAAATGAAAGTGTTTGTTCAGGATGCAAGGACTGGTATGTCCGAAGGAGTGGGAAGCAAAGTCTCGTGTAGGAACAAAGTGTCCAAGTGTCTTGAAAGGGGATCTGCAGCGGTCTTGATCAGGTCTTGGAGTAGGTGGTAGAAGCGGTCTTCAGCGGCCGCGACAGGTAGAAGTCCAAGAAGCGTAGCAGTGGTTCACATGTSCAAAGTCCAAGTGCTAGGGTGCGTCCGGTACACGAACTGCGATGAGGTCTGATCTGGAAGCAAGGAAGTCGCAGACTGATGCAAAGATCCATGTCACAAKTTGCTGCTCCAGTAAGTCTGCGAGTCGGGATGCCGGCCGATGAAACAGCATGGTGGCCAAACCAGCTGCATAATCTCCATGATCAGTGAGGCAGCAGGCCATCATCCTCGTGTGTTTGCCGTTAGATCCTTTATCGCCGGTGTCACGCAGGTCCTCAGGCATTGGACAAGAGAGACAAGGTAGTGGAGAGGACAGGTGGGGCAAGGCTAGGCGAGGGCAAGGGCAGATCAGACATCAGGAATCAGGGTCAAGGGGAGGGTGGGCTGGGTTCAAGCGTGTGTGTAGAGCAGGTTACGAGGTTGTAGCAGGGTTTTAAGCGAGGGTTTAGGGTTTATGCCGGGGTATAGTTAGGATACAGGGTAGGCACAATCATAGGCACGATTAAGTTTCATGGCATTCTTGAGATTATCAAGGGGTTCCCATGTTGATTCTTCATCAGGGTATCCGATCCATTTTACTTTGTATTCGGTGATTCGTTCCGGGTGGTCTGATGCTTGAGTTGTTCTTCGTCCTATGATTGATTCGACTATGAATTTTGGGCCTGTTGGTAGCATGATTGGTGGAGGTCTAGGATAAGGGCGGTCAGCGAACTGGGGCGGGGATTCGTGGTATTCCTTGAGGTATTCTACGTGGAAGACTGGGTGGACGCGACACATGTCAGGTGGAAGCTAAAGTTTGGTAGAATGACACGTCACGTTTGTGTTTGTTAGTCCTGTTGGCTTGTTGTTCTTGTGTTCTTTCAAGGGCTTCGGTTGCTTCTCTGAGGAGTCTGTTCATTGTTGCTACCCATTCATTGAGAGAGGGGCAAGGGGTGGAGGGGCTGAGCTGGGAGGGAAGCAAGAAATCAGAGGGCAAGCGGGGATGGTAGCCAAGGTCGAGGTAGAAAGGGGACATGCCAATGGAGGGGCAGACAACGTCTCGGCGGCTGTGAGCAATTGATCCCAGTCATGTTGGTGTGGATGACAATACTTCCGCAAAATTCTTTGGAGAGTATCGTTCATCTTCTCGGTCTGGCCATCGGTCTGGGGGTGGAATGCAGTGTTATACTTGAGCGTGGTTCCGTAGGCTTGGAAGAGGTGTTTCCAGAACTGTGATAGGAAGCGGGGATCGCGGTCACTGATGATGTTCTCGGGGAGACCGTGGTGGCGAGCGACATGATCGAAGAAGAGTATGGCAATGTCTTTGGCATTGTGCGAGGTGGTGCAAGGAATGAAGTGGGCGCGTTTGGTCAGATGACAAACAATGACGTAGATGCAATCATGCCCACGGTCGGTCTTGGGGAGGCCGCACACGAAGTCCATGGAGATGGACTGCCATCGGTGGGTAGGGATGGGCAGTGATTGGAGCTTGTCGGGCTTGGCCCGGTTCGAGGGATTAATGGCTTGACAGGTGGGGCACGAGCGGATGTATGCTTTGATGTCGGCGAGTAGAGAAGGCTAATGGAAGTAGCAGGAGATGGTGTCGAAGGTTTTCTGGAAACCAAGGTGGCCAGCGGTCTTGGCGTCGTAGTGATCGACCAAGAGCTGGGTACGAAGACCACGTGCGTAAGGGATGCAGAGTCAGCGAGTGCCCTTGGTGTCAATGTAGAGTAGATTGTCATGGACAGAGTAGTCAGGGACTGAGTCAAGGTTGCGAAGTTGGTAGTAAATGGAAGCGAAGTCTGGGCAAGAGAGGTAACCTTGGGTGTAGCGGCGATGTAACGAGGGAAGAAGTTGAATGTGGGTCATGGCAGCGTAGACTTTCTCAGGGGGCTTGTGGTCGGGGCGGCGGGAGAGGGCATCAACAACGCGGTTGCTTTTGCCGGGGGTGTGGCGGATGGTGAAGGTGAACTGGGCAAGGAAGTGTAGCCATCAGGCTTAGCGGGGGGTGATGTCTTTCTTGGTAAGGATGAAGGAGACGACTGTGTAGTCAGTGCGGATGGTGATTGCCCGTCGAGGTACGAGCGCCAGACTTTGAGGGCGTAGACCACGGCTAGGAGTTCCTTCTCGTTGGAGGGGTAATTCATCTCCGCTGGAAGGAGTTTCTTGCTAGCGAAGGCAATGGGGTGTTCGCCG